AACAGTTCCGCAACCATTTGCCATTTTGTCACACTTTTGGTGATAAAAAAATAAATCAGGTGACGGTCTCAATTGTCCAAACAGACATGCTGACTTGTTTAGCTAAACCCTTGTTTAGCTGCTCCTCACACTAAACCAAATATATTTATCATCAGATTAACACATAAGGAGCCAGATTTATCAAACAGGGCAAATTAGTGTGAGAACAACAGCATCCCATAAAAGCGCAGACGGGAGTGGAAAGTTCATGTCAGGCTGATCTACTGACAGTGAGCAAATTAAAAGACACAGACACAGCCAGATATTTTCCATAATGACCAACGCATTTGAATATTGTATTATTATTGTTGTTATCATAGATTATTATATTGTTTTATACTGTGTCATAAGAGTTTAAGACCATATACATAAGAGGATTAACACAGTGGGAGCGTCTTGAAATGTTTGGAAGGTAATCCTTGAAGATGCAATGCAAATCTTGATACTTTGGTTATGTGTCCATGAAGAGAAAAAAAAAGTGCTCTAATGTCTGGTGTTGAATTGTCGATTTAAGTTCACACCTAATAGGAAATACAGCTGTCGATCCCAAACACTGATTGCATGTAGCCACACAGTCTGAGAACAGCTCTTGCATCTAAATGCAGTTGAAGGTTTCTCATCAGACCCGGCTAAATTTACTGCAGATGGGTTTCCTGTAAGCCACGGTGAACTCCCTACAGTCTTGAGCACCAGAGCTAATAACATGCTGGACTTTCTAAACAGAGACATCTGAGTAGATATTTTAGCAGCATATTTTCTTTTCTTTTCCTATATACACAACCTACGTGAACATTTTTCAGTATTTCTTGAAATGGAGCAGGTTTTTTTATTGAACCTTTAGACAAAATAATGATACATGAGGCTTTTATGGCTCATATCGTACGACACAGTAGAATGTGTAGCTCGTACTTGGAGGACAAACATTTTATTCATAGGCCAAAAATATGGTGCATCTGCTGATATTTATATTTATATATTGATAGCTTGTAATGACAATCACTGAGATCTTTATAACAGCAGACTATGTAAATAAAATGCATATAAATATCAGATGTCACTCTTTATCCCACAATAATATGTCTTAGTAAGATGATGTTTAAATGCTTAGTTTGATGATCAAAACATATAATGCAGTGCAATACATTGATAATTGAGAGATTGTTTTCCAAAAAAAAAAA